TGTTCATACAACCCTAGTTCCTACTGTAGCTCACTACTAGTTTTCTGTATTCTATCTTCTTGAATATTTCACGAAGCAGATTCTCCCAATTTAGTTAGCTACTAAGCCAAGTTAGTATTACTGATTCTCTTTGTAGAACAGATTTATGCATATCTGACTCAATTCGCATTTATTGATGATAGTTTCTTTTTGAATCAAGTATTAGCTAATATAACTATCAAAAGCTATACTACTTCACCAACTTGGGATTTCTACTATGCAGATTTCCTGCTCATAGATCCTATCAAGATTTATTCATATAATATTATGTCTTACTAAATGCCTTATCACACTTTCAATATCCAGATGATATTAATGTAATATAATTTACAGAATTATAATCTCAGAAACAAACAGGGTTTACTATAAGTTAGATACAAAGGTCTAGGTAATTATTCAAATTTGTCAATAGTAGGATTTGAATCTCAGACCTCTTGCATAGTGGTCTGACAATTTAACTACTACAATAAGATTGTCAGATCTGATATTAGTCTATTTAGTACAAATATAATATAATCATTATTTTTAAAAAAAATAAAACATAAATATGAGATAGAAGAGTTACTTCTAGAATTTTTTCAACATAATAAAAATTCTAAAAATGAGAATTCAGAAAGTAAAAGTTCAGAAAGTAAAAGTTTAAAAAGCAATAGTTCAAAAAATAATAGTTCAGAAAATAATAGTTAAGAAAAGGATAGTTCAAAAAACAATAGTTTAGAAAATAATAGTTTAGAAAACAATAGTTTAGAAGATAAAACTAGTAGCACAACAAGTAATAAAGATGATAAAGAGAGCAATAATTTTAGTACTGATTTAATAAATATCTTAGATAATGATTTTGATATTCAAAAACAAATTACAAGATGATTAGTTAAAGAAAAATTTAAAGAACCTTCATCTATTAATAACAATGATGATATGAATATTGATAAAACTTTGAAGAGAACTTATTTATTTAAAATATATAAACTATCAGATAAAGATGATATTATAATGTTAAATAAAGAATAATCTAATAGCTCTTCTATATCAAACAAACTTCAAGTAGTTCAAAAAAATTATCTACAGATTCACAAGATCAGAATATGATTAATTTTATTCTACTAATAATTGATCTAGAAAATTTTGATCTACTGGTCAATTTTGATAATAAACAACTGAATTAAATCATTTTGTAAATAATAAAATATTAACAAAGATATCTCTTAAATTGTATGCTAACATAGACAAATTTGTCTATGTTTTTGTATTCATTCAGCTTTGATTTATTTTTTTAAAATGCAAAAATATTAAAAAAATAATTATAGATAATAAAATTTGAAAAT